GGAAGTAGCCTTGTAGTCTTGCTTGTTCATCCTCGGGATACTGAACTCCCTTGAGATAGAGAAAAAAAAAGTGAGGTAGTGGACAACTAAGAAAAATTATCTTTTCAAGGCTAAAAGTGCTATAAAGGAAAGTAGGTAGAAGAAGGAGACAAGAACTATCTTGCGATACCCGAATCAGTTGCTTGCACTTGTATCTTTCTCCCCAGCTTCTTTCTATGATTCTAGTCAAGCCTCGCTAGTACGCCTTGAGAGTCTGAGCTACTCTTTTTTTCCTTACCCATATATCACAGTTAGTACCCTCAAAGCCACTGCCTTTCAAGTAGAGCGTCTTTTCAAGTCAGTCTTGTCCCGCCTGCTCATTAGCAAGTGCCTCGGGCCCTGCCTCTCTTTTCCAACAATCTCAGTCGAGTGCTTCTTTCCCTCCTTTTAGGTGAGCTACTTCATTTCAGCCTTTCTCTTTCTATTTTGAAACACTTCGGCTTGAACTCTATTTGCTTGAGCTCGCAACCCTTTTCGACCTGTCTTTTCAGACTCATTCACGTGCTCTTAATGATTATTTTCTCCTCTCTTTCTAACTGATAACTTTTGGCTTCTTTTTTTTTGTTATTTTAACTAAAAAAATAGGTATTTATAAGCCCTTTATTTCAAATCAAAATACTTCAAAACTACCTCAAAATTATATTTACTTTGAAAGGAATTAAATAAGTCGATCCAAAGAGACTCTTACTTTTCATATTCATGTTAGATTCTTGAAAATTCGTCATATTTTTTCTTATTTTATAGGAAAGCATAAGGAGGACTTTGTGAGTTGGGTTATGTAAATTATATAACTTCAATACAAGGAAATTATAAGAAAGAGGAACTAAGTAAAATAGGAAATATCCTATTTTTTTGTAGATCATTTATGTGCATTTGTATTTGGTTGTGGTATATATTTATTTAGTTACAACTCTTTATGTTAATTAATTTAAGATTAAAAGGAGGAAATCTTGATTCACATACTTGTTTAAAATTCTAGAAATTATAATTGACTCTTGCTCATTCACGTTCTCTTTCTAATAAATAACTTATAATTCAAGAATAATTAAAATAATATTATTTAATTAATTAAATGTTTTATTTACTCTAGAGATAAAATGGTAATTCAATTTTTCATCTTTGGAATTTTCTACTTATAATTATATAAGTGAAATGGTCTGAAAGACCCTTATACTTGGCTAAGATTGTCAACTAGACCCTTCTACTCATGACTTTGTCAATCAAATCCTTAAATTCAATGAAATGCAATATTTTAAACCCTCTGACTGTTGACCAATCCATTGTGGCAACTTAATAGTCGAGATGGAACAAACGTGTGATCTCGCACGTTAAAAGAGCGTAAATAGAAAATTTGAAAGAAAAGAAAAAATCAATAAAAAGCAAATCTTCTTTTCCCCATTTCTTTTCTTTCCTACCCAACTACTGTATCTTTCTTCCCTCATTCCTAGACCCCATCTTTCTTTCTTGCTCCCTTTCACCATTTTTTATAATCATTATATGTTTGAAAAAACTATTTCAGAAATTCTTTTTCAGAAGTAGCTGCTTCACTCTTTGTGAGATAAAAAATATATGAAGAGAAGTGATTAAGGAAATGAGGAGGGGTAATTTACATGCGGCTAGATGATCGAGTTTTGATTATTTTTAAGAGTGAAGAATGTTATTGTATGTCTTTGTAAAATTAAGTTGAATTTATTTTAGTATGCTTCATTGACATCAATGGAGGAAACAGATCACAATGGTTCAAGTGGTGGATGAAGACCTTGATAATAAAAATATGACAAAAAATTATGAACGATGAAAACTTGGAGAACAATGATAATTTTTTAGTTATTTAAGATAGTGATAATGAGTAAGGAATAAGGTTATAACATGGCAATGAATTATTTGGTGAAAAAAATGGAGAGAAGTAGTCAATGATAAAGTTAGAGTGAGGAAGAAACGGAGTGAAAAAGAAAAAATGGAAATTTTAATTAAAGTTAAAAGTAAGTGAAAGAAATAAATTTAAACTTCTTAAAATAAAGTAAAAATAAGTGATGTATCACTAAAAGTCTTGATATGGATCATGACATGTCATTTCTATTATGTGTTTGAAGTGCACGTGAAGTCAAAATGATTTAAAAGATTGTTTTCCATTGATTTTAAGTATTCAGTTGGTAATATCGTGAGTATAAGAGTTCAGTTGAAAATCTGAGTCAAGTATAAGGGTCTCCTAGGTCACATACTTATTTAAAATTTTAGATATCATTATTAGCTCTTGTTCTTCCACATTCTCTTTCTAATAAATAACTTATAATTCAAAAAATAATTAAAATAATATTATTTAATTAATTAGATGTTTAATTTAGTCTAGGTGTAAAATGATAATTCAACTTTTCATCTTTGGAGCTTCCACTTATAATAATTCTACTTTCTGAGTACGTGTGTTGCTTGTGTGACCCATGCAAGTTTTCATAGATCCATTAAAACGATTAAGTATATATGAAAATACATTATTAGTAATAAAACAACAATTACAAATATATTTTTAGAAGGATGACAAAAACAACATTTATAAATTTTGAACTTGTAGAGGAAAACGAAATACAAAATAATCATAACAATATAGAGGAAAACCAAATACAAAATTTACATAATTTTTTGAAATTTTTGTCAACGCCTTCTATAACCAATCAAAATTGTAGAGTTTTCTTCATTGAGTAAAACTAAAGAATAAATCAAATATAAAAAAAAATATAAGTGCTGCGCTACTTTGATAATCAAATATTACAAAGGATAATCTTTGGGGGGAGAAGGTCTCATAAAACCAAAAATATATGAATTTATATAGATAAAAACACAGAAATACCAAAAAGTTTCAAATTAAATATTTGGAGGTTATAATTATAAAAAACATGCAATTTACGAATAATAAGATATCAATTGAACAAGTAATTAGATAAATTAAAAATACTATTAAATCTAGAGGAACTATGCAAACCTAATTCTCACTTTAATCAAATATATAGTCATGTTTCCTAAGTTTGATGATTAAAGTTCAAAAAATTTAAAAAATAAATAAATTCTTAATCAAGAAAATGAATAGTTTTTATCCTTGTTCAGAAAACAATGTTCATCCTTATTCAAAAAAAAAGTTACTTCACATTTCAATTAATTTTATAAGGAGAAAAAAGATGAATAATTTTTTAGAACATAAAAGGTGTCATATCACATTTTTAAGAAGAGAAAATCCAAGAATGACCAAACTGAAAAGCAAAGGAAAATTACAACTAAATTTGGACATTCAACTATCCCTTTTTTCTGCTTGCCAATGGTTCTCGGTAGTGAATTGTTTTCATGTTCTAGAGCTCATGTTCCTCTACACAATCTTAATTTTGCCATCAAATTGGCAAAATAAGAGATGTAAATTGAAAACTTGTAACACATGATATGATACCTGGTACACAATTGTTATGTCGTAAAATACCAATTAAAAATTATAGCGTGTATGCCCTGATAAAGAGAGGAAATAAGAGCACATCACATATGTGTTATTTAATAAAGATTACGTACTATATTTATTGAAAGAAACTAGTCATAGATCAAGAGTAAATTTCAACTTTTCAGATTAAGTACTCACATATACATCATTTGTAAATGATGAATTCATGACTTGTCGCAAGGAATGAGAATTGGAGAAAGAACAGGAAGAAAGGAGGTGTATTTTAGTACACAAAGGACTCGACTGTTGAGTTCCGTTAAACTGAAAATATTAGCGGCTTTTGGGTTTATTTGATGGAACAATTATCTAATATAATTATAATAATTAACCATTAAAGTCATTAAAAAATTTAAGAATGATAAGTTGAGCATCTGATCATATATTTTTTTTCTAGTCTAATTGTATTTCTTGATTTAAATTTTAAATTATTTTAATTAAAAAATAAGTGAAAGGCATTTTCATAATTTCACTTTGAACTTAAAATCTTCCCACTTGTAAAAGTATATGATATGATGAATTGAAATTCAAATTGTGGTTATAAAAAATAAATAACAATATATTAAAATTATGTATAACTTACATATATCTCATAGTGTAAAACCTAAATTACATTCTATCCCAAAAAAAGGGTTGAACCCGGCTCACAAACCAGGAGATCTGGGGGCTTTTGCCCGCTCATCATCAATCCCATTCTACTACTCTGTTAGTACAAATTCTTGTCAGTCTCCGAGGGACATCGAAGACTTGGAACTACGGAAAATCCCTCTCCGCTTTATTAAACTCTTCTCTTAGGCGAGAGCTCCTTCAGAAAAACAAACTTATTCAAGTTCTTTTTCCCAAATACTCTTTTCTATTTTACAAGAATTCCTTAAAAATTGTAGCATTACATTATAGTCAACTGGTACATAGCGTCTGATACATTAAATAATTTGACTGTTGCGCTTAAAAGGAATCTAAATGTAAAATTAATTATCAGTCCACAAATCACGCAAAAGAAATTGATATCAATCTATTCCTATCCCTAACAGATTCAGAGAATTCAAAATTCAAATTTTCTTCTCCTCCATCTATCCCAGATCATAAAATATCCAAAATAGAAGATCCACGACGACTTCTACATGACGACTTATCGATTTTTTTTTAGATTTTTCAGATTTTAGGTGATCAATCTGAGTTCTGAACGATGTAATAGCGATTGAATAGTTGTTGGAAAAATGATTTCTTTTATAAATCTGAAACCGCCATTACAACTGAATTGAATCTCAAATCCGTCACTGAAACAACAGACAAGATGACTGGAGAGATACATTATTTTGATGCTACATCCAGTATAATTGTACCTGTCGAAGTTGAGAAAAACGGTACTCGTAAAGCAGCTTTAATATTTGTAATAGTGAAATATAAAGTAAAGTACAACTTCAATTTCAAGGTACAAGGATCTTGTAAAAAATGTACTAGATATGTTGTTTTGTATTGTGAATTAGTATTTTTGATTTCTTGATACACAAGTCGTGATTTATTCATGATACAGTGTTAATTACTATTTTATACATAAATATGTTGCATTATAAAAATAAGGAATAGAGATTAGGATTTTTTCTTGAAGCAACTTGCAACATGTGTTATCGTACAAAAGCTCCAACACAATATGGATATTCCAAAGATTTCAAATGACACTGATTCACTTCACCCTCGTGCTGAGTTTGAGAAGAAAAAACACAAGATAAAGCGTTTTGTCCAATCACCTAATTCTACTTTTATAGGTGTCAAATGTCAAGGTTGCTTTCAAATAACAATAATTTTCAGTCACTCGCAAACCGTGGTTACATGCCCCATTTGCCAGCAAGTGCTATGCCAAACAACTGGTGGTCGCGCAAAAACTTATTGACTAATGCTCTTTTAGGATTAAAGAGAAGGATATGTGGTCTTGGTTGATACATGCTAGAGCTGATTTTAAGATATGCTATTTTAAACTAGGTTTTTAAAGAATGAGTTGGTCAAGAGAACTTTTCCTTTGCATAGTATTTTTTATGGCATTTTGACTATAATATTGTCCATCTTATTAATCTTTACACATTTTGAAGTAATTAATCTTCTATCCATGTTTGCTAAAAAAAAAGTTGCATCATATGTGTTATATGTTTAGAGTTGTATATCGTTGTGTGATAATTCTAAAGTATGTGTGAAATATTTCTTCGTTTTTTAATATGTCATTGCTTATGCATATGTAATTATGAAACATTAGTATGAAATATATCATGTAGTTATTCTGTATCTGAAACACGTAAATGTTGTGGACAATATGATTTGTTGAGGTTAGTTGTAATAATTTACCTTGTATTGATTTTTTTTGAAACGATACATAAAATTAGCAAATTTTTAATGTATCTTGTACAATTGCAAACAGTGAACAAAGGGAGCGTAATGACTTCTAAAATCCCAGAATATATCAATAGTTAGCTTGTTGAGTCATGACAACTACCTACATTATACTTTTTGAATGAACTTAGAATTCTATTTGGTTCTTGAGACTGTAAAAATCGGAAAATAACATCTTTTATAAATAATACATTAAGGACGATATATAATGTAGTGTATCTCTAACTTTACACAATTTCAGGTCATTTCATCTTTTTGATATTTTTGTATCAGAATCATGATATATAAATCCGATACTTATTTTTTGATATTTTGTATTAGATAATGATATAGTATCAAGTGTTATGTGTGTAAAATACTTATAATAGACAAAATGTAACCAGATACTAAAAGTATTGAAAATTACATTCAAAATAAACAATCGTTTTTTTTATAGAAAAATTGTAAAGCTTGGAACAATGTTCTTAAAAAATAATAAACTCCCAAAACATTATTTAATATATCTTAAAAACAAGGGAAAATGGTCACATATGCCCCTAAACTATTCGAAAATGTCTAGATATACCCTCCTTATAAAGTTTGGGACTCTCATGCTCTCGTCGTCCAACTTTTGGCCCAAATATGCCCTTATGGGCGTTAGTTGGTATGTTGGACATATCCAACTTATTTTAATTTATTTCAACGCCACATGGTATTGTCATGTCATTTTTACCTTAACACATGACATTTATAAAAAAAATTGAAAGGGATTCAGACTCATAAACACCTAATCCGATCCTTAAATCAATCCCCCTTTTAAATAAACTATCTATGATTAATTTTTATTTTTCAGTGAATCCCGGAATCGATCAATAAATATAGAAAAATAAGATAAAATTAATGTCAAACATTTAAAAATAAATATAGTAACCTTAAATCAAACAATTTC